CTCTCAAGATTTATTGCTCCATTCCAGTAGAGTGTAAATAGATCTATAGTAGGCCAATGACTTTCAGTTGATGTTAAGGCACTGATCATTCCTTTCATCAAAAGGGGGCCTAGCAAGTTAGATACATGTGTTCTCACTGAGAGCGGGGCCACGGACATGCGTAGTAGGTCAAGTACGTTCCAATTGGACGGCTCAGGTAGACCTAAACCTCCCAATATTTTACTCTATATTTTTTTTTCCTCAAAGTAAAAGCGGCAATATCGGACAAACGCTAAAACCATTGTTTCATTATTCTTTCATTTGTGAACATACTCCACCCAGTTCCTTTAGGTTTGGCTGTGCTATTTCCAACCAGGAACTACATTTTTGCGCTGTTTACCTCAGAATTATCTCCTAGGTGGGAACACTATACCGGGCAAGTGTTAAGTGAGCCCTTTCCAGCAAAGACACGTACACCTCTGTCCCACGCATTTCGCAAACGTGAAACCGATCATGAAAACACAATGTTTGTCTCGACGCAAAGGAATCAGGCACGCGTCATTTTTTGAGCATATGAGTTATTGGTTTCATCTTAAAACTTGTTTATTTGCCATGCTTTTGGTGAAAAAAATACCTTTTTTTCTTGTTGGTAAGTTCAGATATCTGCGATTGAAGGAGGTAGTGTCGCATGGAGTTAATGGTAAAATAGTCGAAAAAATGGCAGCCAAAGTGTGGTGACTTCCGAAGCTTGAGTGTCCTTGGAAACTGCAAATTGACTGTTTTATTGTGCCTTTGATATACCCTTTTCCTGTATATTACACACATACGTTTGTTCTTGAATATATATAAAAGGTGTTGAGCTAAAAAAAAAAAAAAAGTAAAATTTATTGTTTTAAAATCGATCAAAGTTTACCAACTGGCGGGAAAATGTCGGTTTCGTCTGTTTCTTTATTTTGACTAGAGCCTGAGGTCATTACGATGCCAAACATATCATGCCTGTTCGGTACCGTGATATAAATAGTTATTGAATTGTCCCAAATATTAGCACTTCCCGTCACAATCTCGACAACAAGTAAATGGCCCAGATTCGAATCCAAAGTCTTCTAGTCCTTCCTTGGTTATTTTCTTTCTTTTTTTGGAAAGTGTCTGAAATGAGGACTTGGTAAATTTTCGTCTACGAAATGATCTGACAGTGATTACTAATTGGCTTAAAAAATGATAACCTGGTAAAAACACCAGACACAAACCGAGCGGGCTTGTTTCCGGGGCGATTATCGCGAAGGGGTGGGTGGATACGTGTGATCGTATTATAGAGGCCATGCTTATTTTCCCAAGATTTCAAAAATGCTATTGCGTATGGCACTGCCCTCAAAATAGATCACTATAATTTTCTTTCCAACTGTGGAGAGACGAAGTCTTCGATCATTTTGCGTTAATCAGTAACTTCAATGCTTGACAACCAGAAACGCCATCGTTCCATACCTTCTCGTTATTATTATAATATCCCCTAAGGCTGTCCACCCACGCACCACGAACATCTATCATCATCAAGTGTCTAGTCTGGAGCAGATATAGGCAGTCATGGTTCCTCATCCCTTTCCTTCTTTCTAGGCTCCCCAAGAGTGATTTGTTATAAATTGCGTTAGTTGCATTGGCCTGTGTGTTCGGGTTATTTCTGAAATCTTGTGCGTTGGCGTCCTGGGCTTATTTTTTGTTTGTTTGTTTGTTCGATTTTATCTGTCACACTTCGTTATTCCAATTCCCCTTTTCTGTGCACGTGTCCCATAATTTGTACCTGTCGTCGTCCTTTTTGTCTCGATGCGTGATCTTTTCCTGTTTTGTCATTTTCGGGATTTCTTGTTTTGCCTTCGATTCTGTTGTTCATGACATTTTCAACATTCTCGTTAGGAACCACATTTCTACTGCTTCTATATTTTCTTTTGATACTTACTTTACTTTTTACTTTTTCATCCTCTGTTGCCGTTAAGCGTCGAGGGGAGATGCAGTTTTCTACTGTAGGCCAGCTCCGCAGCTCTTTCAGTTGTGATGTTATGTTTTCTTAGGGTTCCTTCTCACCCTCAATCCACCTTTTGTGTGGCTTTCCTCTTCCTTTATAGCCTGAGTGCTTGGTGTTGTAGGCTCTCAAGGCTGGCTGGTCAGGTGACATACGTAACAGGTGGCCAAACTATTTTATCCTCTGTCTTTCTATGTAATGCAGGCAGGACTCAGTGCCGATAGCTGCTCTTACTTCTTCATTTCTCTGCCTGTCTCGTCTTGTGACGTTACGGGTTTTGTGGAGGCATTTCATTTCGCAAGCGGGGATTTTGCTTTCATGGGTTTTGCTTATAGTCCAGGTCTGGCACTGATAACATAATGTTGGTATGAATATTGAGGTGATAAGCTGTCTCTTTGTGTCCATGGAGATGTTTGGATGAAATAGGAGGGGTGCGAGCTGGTAGGTGACAGCGTTGGCTTTTTGAGTTCGCATTTTTATTTCTCTGTCTATGGACCCGTTTTCAGAAAAAAGTGCCGCCAAGATATTTAAACTCATTCACCTGTTTCATTTTTTTTACTATTGACATGGATGTTCAGGGGACTATGGTTTCGGCTCGCTTAGCATGTTTCTTTTGATATTGTTGTCAATTGTCCAGCTCTCACATACCAATGTAAATGAGCTGACAATAAACACTATGTATCTCGCATCTGCAAAAGGTCACATGAGCAACAAAGGGTGGACGTCAAAAGGGAAGTACTTTCTGGGAATCAGGCTTAGTCTGCTCACCTCTCTAGCTACAACAGCACAAGGTCTGCTTCGACTATCAAGGCACCCCGGAAATAGCGGGTCACAAGAGTGTGACAAAAGAAGTAGAGGAAAATGACGATAGTAAGGATTAGGAAAGAAAAAGGAACAGTTCCCTTTTGCAGTTCAGGCACAGTTATGAGCATAACATTGATGAATCAGCCCATTTAAAATTACAATTCTACTGTGCATAAGAACGTGGTAATATCCCCCGTTTGGGAATGGCCTAAAGACACTTCAGTCAGTCGCACTGCCCCG